TAGGTATGGTTAGGTCATGACCTCAGAACCCACTCAGACCAACTCATAACCCACTCAACCCACTCACAACCACTATTAACCCATCTCTCATTAGCGGTATCCCAACACGAGGAGGGGGGTGGTGGGCTGATGACGTAATGACCCGGGTATGTTGTTGTTGGTGACGTCATCGAGGACTTTGGGAATGATGACGTAATGACCCGGGTATGTTGTTGTTGGTGACGTCATCGAGGACTTTGGGAATAATGACGTAATGACCCGGCAATGTTGTTGTTGGTGACGTCATCTTGGCTTTGGCGACTCCCTGATTTATTATTTCGTTATGTATCGTTGTATTTCGCTGTATATTGATGTATTCTGCTGTATTTCGCTGTATATTGATGTATTCTGCTGTATTCTTGCTGTATCTAGGTGTATTCTAGTGAATTTCGTTAATAATTAGATATATTTCAGTATATTTCGATATTATTGCTTATATAAAAGTATTAATAACTTCTCGAGATATATTTCCACAATTTTTAACCCCAAACTACATATTATTTGACCCATTTTTTACGATTTCAAGCTAAAACTACGTATATGACCTTAATAACAAAAACAAAATATATATAACTCTCAAGATACATTTCACAACTTTTACGCCAAATTATAAATACTTTGACCTTTTAGAGAAATTTTAACCCAATTTTTTTATTTACGATTTTAAGGGGGAACTATGTTATTCTGGACCCTGTGACCACAACTATTAACTCACGACACGTAACGCTGTTGGGTATAACCTGTTGTAGTGTTGTAATGTCAAGGTGGTGGTTGTGTCTGTCTGTCTGTCTGTCTGTCTGTCATTAAAGGCAAGGTTGGTCCCTGAGGGGGTGAAGGCGTGGTAGGGGGAAGGTTTAAGGGTGGTGAGGACATGGTAGGTAAGGGTAAAGGGGGGTGTTAAGGATGGGATTTATTGGGCTGTGGGGATAGAACCAAGACTAACTTACGCCACTGACATACCAAGAACTGTCAATCTTTTCCCCCTACCCTTCCCCTGCCCCTCCCCCTCTCCCTCCCCTTGCACAATACATCAAGGAATACAATTATAAAGTAGGTCGAGGCTAGACTGTATCTGTGTGTGTTTTGAAGATTTGCGGTGAGCGACTTGATTGGTCACCTTGCCGCTGGGTCTTTTTGCGCGGGAAAATATGGGTTGTGTGATTGGCTGGGGGGTTTAATGTTTATTTTGCGCGGGAAAATATGGGTTTGTGATTGGCTGGGGATTAATGTTTATTTTGCGCGGAAAATATTGTCAGTCTCTTAAAGAAAAATCAATACGTGACAACTCCAACAAAACTTCAACTTTCCCGACATACCAAATGTCATTCCCAAGTACACACACACGTACACACACACACACACACACACACACACACACATATACACACACACACACACACACACACACATATACACACACACACACACACACACACACACACACACACACACACCTCACAAGCCAGCCATTACCTATACATTGTCTTATTTTGAATCAGGTGAAAATACGTCCATTAAATCAGGACTTGTAACCCCTCGCGTGACGTAGGAAGAGAGGGGTGCCAGTGTTTATTTTGTAATCGTGTTTTTTTCGTTTTTTATGATTTTTTTGGGGGGTGTTGTTTTGGTGTTTTTATGAGATTATTAAAGTATTAGAGAGTTTATGAAAGTTTTGATAATTTTGTTTTATTTCAAGTTTTTTATGAGATTATTAAAAGTATTAGAAAGTTTATGAAAGTTTTGATAATTTTAGTTTTATTTCAGGTGTTTTTATGAGATTATTAAAGTATTAGAAAGTTTATGAAAGTTTTGATAATTTTAGTTTTATTTCAGGTGTTTTTATGAGATTATTAAAAGTATTAGAAAGTTTATGAAAGTTTTGATAATTTTAGTTTTATTTCAGGTGTTTTTATGAGATTATTAAAAGTATTAGAAAGTTTATGAAAGTTTTGATAATTTTAGTTTATTTCAGGTGTTTTTATGAGATTATTAAAAGTATTAGAGAGTTTATGAAAGTTTTGATAATTTTAGTTTTATTTCAGGTGTTTTATGAGATATTAAAAGTATTAGAAAGTTTATGAAAGTTTTGATAATTTTAGTTTTATTTCAGGTGTTTATGAGATTATTAAAAGTATTAGAAAATTTATGAAAGTTTTGATAATTTTAGTTTTATTTTGTTTTATGAGATTATTAAAAGTACTAGAAAGTTTATGAAAGTTTTGATAATTTTAGTTTTATTTCAGGTGTTTTTAGTGAAAGTATTAAAATTATTAGAAAGTTTTATCATAATTTGTCGCTCCCTTTAGCATTTGTTAAGTTTGAAAGTATAAAGAGAGTATTTAGGTCACTAGTGAAAATTAGAAAGTATTACTCTTACTTTTACTGAGAGGAAAGTACTCGTTCTACTTTTCTCTGAGTTTAACCTTGGGGAGAAAGCTAAGGAAGTGGCTATTGGTTGGTTTACGATGTGAAAGATCAATATCAAACGAAGGGAGAGAGAGAGAGAGAGAGAGAGAGAGGAGAGAGAGAGAGAGACACCCTAACTTAATGCCACAGGTAACATTTGGGTCAGGTTAGTTAGGGTAGGTTAGATTAGGTTAGGTTAGGTTAGGTTAGGTTAGGGTGTTCAATCTTCAGGTAAGCTCTATGACCTTCACCACTCCTGAAGGGCAGTGGTCTACTGAAGAAGGCCTGAGGTTTTACTCCTTTCTGCACCCACGAGACACAACATTTCACTTTCTTGAATGTTAGTGTGGTGTGTGTGTGTGTGTGTGTGTGTGTGTGTGTGCTTGTTTTTATTATTTTGCTTGTTGTGGTGGTTTGCTGGGTGGTGGTTTGTTGGAGGTGGTTGTTGTTGTTGGTCTTTGTGACAGACAGACAGACAGACAGACAGAAGACAGACAGACAGACAGACAGACAGACAGGCTGAATGAATGAATGAACGGAAGCAGAATAATGAAGAGAATGGATGACACACACACACACACACACACACACACACACACACACACACACACACACACACACACACACACACACATACACACACACACACACACACACACACACACACACACACACACACACACACACACACACGGTCGACCGGATGTGGTTCCGAAGAATGTAAGCAGGGGTAATAATTGTGGTAGGATGGTGGTTGATGGAATGGTGGTAGTTAAGAATAGGTTGTTAAGAATTGTGGTTGATGAAACTGATGGTTGTTGACGATGCTGGTAGCTGATGACGATGGTTGTTAAGAATACTGGTTGATTGACGATTGTGGTTGTAACTTAGGGTTGTAAGAGTGAATGGTTGTGGTTGTTGTTGTTTTGGTTAGGTTAGGTTAGGTTTTAAACATGTGGTGACTTATTTAGGTGTGTGTGTGTGTGTGTGTGTGTGTGTGTGTGTGTGACAGAGAGACATACACACACACACACACACACACACACACACACACACACACACAAACACACGAAGGTAAGAAATAGGTCATATGTGAAGGAAAGGAAGGAAGGAAGGAATGGGAAGGAAGAGTGATGAGGGAGGGAGAGTGGTAGGTGAGATGAGGGAGGGAAGGTAGGAGGAGGAGAGGGAGGAGGGGGGGGAGGGAGAGAAGACGGGAGCGGTGGAGGCAAGAGGAAGGAGACGACTCACACACAGTCAGTCTACCAAAGTCTCCCAAGGTGAACGCACGTGTCCCTCCCTCTCCTCCACATTCCTGGCTATACCGGTGCTATACAGGCTATACCAACCTCCCTACACGGTGCTATGTAGTGTAGAGCATAGATTAAAACCCTCGTGAGGTTTTGTAATACCTGTAAAGAGGTTTTAAGTCGTTGTTGTGGCTTAAATGTGGTTGGAAAATATCAAACGTCTGGATTTGGATGGTCTTGTGTCCAGTGACTTGTGATCCAACGCTATACGGCTGTTTAAACACGTAAAAAACCTCGCCTCTCGACTGTGTATAGGGTAGGGGGTGATGGGCTTGGTTTTTACCCCAGATTTGAGTGTTTTTAGGATATTTCAACCGCTAGCGTGTGTTTTAGGAAGATTAAACCCTCTGGTGGTGTGTGGGGGAAAAATATAAAACCCTAACGTGTGTTTTAGGGAAGATTAAACCCTCAGATGGTGTATGTGAGGGAAATTTAAACCCAGAATCGTATTATTGTGGGTTTTAGGAGGAATTTAAACCTCCTTACCCCGTGTTATAGTACCTTAGTGGACATACCAACCCGTACTGTCCGTTTTAATGAGGTGTAGGGGAAAAATCGAACCCCCTTCATCGTGTTTTTTTTTGTATTTAGGAAATTTGAACCTCTAATGTTTGTGGTTTAGGGGAAATTTGAAAAAACTAAATTTCTCCCTAGTTTATTGATGTGTCTAGGGAGAATTTTTTTAATCCCTAATATTCAGTAAAAAAAAATTCCCTTATGTAAATTATTTCCCTAGACTGTAATTAGAAAGTAGTAATTATTTTACAGTTAATTAGAGAGGTTAATAATCCTTGGTGTTAATTACGACTAATTATTCTCGACATAATTATTTTAATGTAATTAGACAGACAGACATATAGACAGATAGATAGATAGATAGATAGACAGATAGATAGATAGACAGACAGATAGTTAGATGGATAGACAGACAGACAGGCAGGCAGACAGACAGAGAGAAAGACAGACTGATAGACAAAACAGACAGATAGACAGACAGACAGACAGACAGACAGACAGATAGACAGACAGACAGACAGACACTGAGAGAGGTAACATCACGGGAGGAAATTATTTAAAAATAAATTAAAATCAAAATAAACGAAAGGAACTGGGTTTTTTCCGATATTTTTCCGAAATTTACGAAAAAACGAAAGAAACTAAAACGAATCAATTTTTTTCCGATATATTTCAAGAATTTATTAAAAAAAAAACACCAAACGAACCAATTTTTACGATATTTTTCAG